AGCCCTACCGACCAACTGCCTGTAGTCATTGCAGTGTCTAGGAGACACGAGGTGAAGGTTACACGGCATCCTAACACCGCCTGGAGATGATACTGTTAGTGCAAGTGTCAGTCTGTGTTTGGTAATGCGTACGGGTAAACTGAGACACACCCACGGCCGAGCTGTCGAGCAACTCATGATTAACAAGAACTCTCATGCTCGGCGTCTATTTTTTGACTTTTTTGACTTGTTGTCCTGCCTAAATCTGACGTCTTCACGTCGACGTATGAAGATGTTGAAGTATAGAAGTTGTTCGTAGGACAGAAGTATGTGTAAGAGGTTAATGTGTAGATGACTTCCTGATTAACTCATAGGAGTCAAATCCATGTTGATTCATAATTAACATTCGGCACAGCGTCCTCAAGATATGAGTAGTAAGCAAAAGATTCTGTGTTCGATGACAACGGAGGGAGTGCTCGATCCTAGTAGTAACAAATCCAAGGTCGGTCCCAGACTCCCAGTGCTTCAGATTGGCAGAGTGTCACAATCACACACGGAGAGGCGGAGTGGGATCACAAACCAGAACACAAGGGCAGAAGCTCGTCAATATGTCGAAGCGACGCCCAGATGATGACGACGATGTACTCTGTACGCTGTACTCTGTACCCTGCATGTACGACGACAAGAAAATTTCCACTGGCCCGGTTCTTGGAAACCAGATACATACATACATCCACGCTGAAGTCCGGTGGCGCACGACCATCTAGCGGACTATGCAAACGCCTTCAAAAGGAAGCTGATAATCAAGCCACATGCTAGAACATGCTAGGCTGACCAGGACACACGAGTTCTCCGCACTTGTGGCAAAAAGGGACGATCCGCCCGCCATCAAGTGGCTAAACTAGCTTCATTTGTACCACGCACAAGAGAAAAGAAAAACCCATACAATATTGCTAGCCGGGCACTCGTAGTAATGGGTTCTCGGAGGCAAGGCAGTGTTTGACTCTTCCCGCGGCCAGTACTCTATTCCTTTACACAAACCGTGGGCATTAGAGACGTGTGGGTTTGCCAGCATCGTTCCGGGACACTAAGAGACCATTGAACAGCGCAACTTGCGGGACAGAACTATGCTGACTGGGATGGGAGATGTTTCGTACCGAGACCGACTGTTGGCCCAAGCATGGTGGGCACTGAACTGAACGAGCGGTGTGTCTGAAGTCTGGAAAGCTCCAAGCATGTAGCAACTTCGTACTTGGTGAGGCTAGTTACTGATCTCTATGGTGAATTGCTCATAGGTTTGGCAGCCAGTTCCATATTCTTACAGCCACCATAGTTCAAAGTAGCTAGACCTTATGCGAGTTTCTTGACGGGGACCAACCAGACGACGACAGACTGCTACCTCGACATCCACACCGGAAAGACGAGGCATTTGGTTGAGGGAGATGGCTCGCATGAAGTTATTCGGCTGGTACTATCGTGAAGATTAGTGACCATGCCTATTACCTCTCAAGCAGAGGACGCCTAACAAGACTTGCAGAAGCTAATTTTATGACAAGACTCATCCGACAGATGCTCCCCAGGTAAGGGAAGGCCAAGGCTCCAAGACGGAGAAGATGTCGTCTATCATAGGTGCGTGGGTAGAGCGCTGTCCTTGATGTTACCCGATGCCTCTTCCTACCCAAACACCTAACAGGTAGGTGGGGAATTGCAAGGCAAACCGTTGACAGGATAACCTTGGAAGTTGACAAACAGCCGACGATCCAGAAACTTGGGAGTGATGGTAGTCAATATTTGACGACTCAAAACTTGACAAGGCAAAGTTTTAGGGTAGGGACATGTACCCGGGCACTTCAGACTTGGGCACATAAAAGGCCTGCCACGGAGTGTCCAGACCCAGGGCAGTCGTGCTCAAACTGCTCACATGCGGAAGGAGCACCTCGCAATTCGGGGAAATTGCATGCAACTTGACGTCTGGAGGCATTAGTACCGATGTATTCCTACCAGCAGAGCTGACTGCCGGGAGCTATGATCAAAAGATGGCATGCTGGCATGGCACCTTGCAAGCTGACCGAGCATGGAGCAACAACAGCAACATTTGAGCTTCAATCTTGAACAGGCGGATACCAATCCCGTTGGCGTCTGCAGGGGTCAACAATACAGGCGGCAACAGACTACTGGTACTACTACTGGCACGTAACCGACGATCGACACGGAGCACAAGCCTTGGACAGGGTTGTGTCTGGTGCTACATAAGCACAGATCAACCCTAAGTCAAGTGCCTAACTACCTAGTACGTGAGCTCTTCCAGCCGTTCTAATTACTTTTTTTTCAAGGTAGCTCTGAAGCTTTTGCCAGGCAGCTCACCAGACGACTATGGAGTGAACACCAGGAGAGTCTCGCCTGAGACACGCTTCCCCGCCGACACGTTTGCAACGGTGAAATGGAGACATGAAGCTTCTTCTGGCGCGAACTCATGAATGGCAGTATCCTTTACAGCTGAGAGCGCCCTCGACGGTCGACTCAGATCCAGGATATTATTTTTGTCTGATGACTACGCCGTGCTTCCTCCAGCCCATCCCATTCAACAGGGCCAGGGTAAGGGGTCTTCCTGTGGTTGACCCTGGCTCCGGGTGCATAATGCATTATTATTATGTGGTCCGCTGTGGATGAAAAACGACCTGGACAGTTAGCCCCAAGCAAGCACTCGGTCCAGTTCCTTCAGCTTGCTGCGGGATACACATGCAGAGCCCAAGGCTGTGATATGCACCACAACTAGCCGTGCAATGGGTGCATCGAGTACTCCGTACGGACTACGAAGTACTACTCTCTATGGGCGACTCCATCCCAGCACAAAAACAAAAGGATAGGTGGAAAAAGGGGGGGGGGGGGGGGGGGGGAACGAAGGGGGCGC